TCTACAAGACATGACAGACACAGACAGACATTAGACACGCGATTATCAACCGCTGCGGTCACCGGTCTCCTCACTCGTCCTCGAAGTGTCTCATCTCGTGGTCATTATAGAGGCTGCCATTGGTCTCGACGGTGTCCAACACGTCCGACATCTTCTTCTCCAACCAATTCATTTCGGGAACAATTAGTGGCGATCTCTGGAGGCATACGGCGCTAATCAGGTGCCAATCGCTTCGGTACCTCCTGGTGGTCACCAGCGTCTGGACGCCCGTCGAGATGATGGCTCTTATGGATGATAACGACCTCACGATTGGTGTCATAACTGAGCCGTCGATTGGATTTCTATTGAATTCAAAGTTTGTTTTGGTTTTCGGTTCAAAAATAATGTGTTTTCTGTGTATACCTTATTGTTGTACATAAAGTATGCGCGATATTTCAGTGAACTACCGGTGCCCTGTCAAGTGGGGGTACAGTATGTTGTATTTCAGAGCATCGGTAGGTTTTAATTTGTTTGTAGTAATCGTTAATAACTATGTTCTGGGTTATTTTAAATATAACTTTACTGTAATTAATATTTATTAATGATTTTAATGTCTATATAGTTATTATAGTGTAATGTTTCACATCCCCATCCACTTCCCACTCGCACCTGTAGTTTATGTGTATTGAATTACATCATGGTAAAATATATTGTGAAAGTTTATTGTATGGCAAAGTGTACGATTAAACTGAGCAGGTTTGCTTAATTGCCAACAATTTTCAGATTTAATCCACTAAAACAACAACAACTGTGCGATTGTTTTGTTTAATTAATACATTGATAAGTAAACACCATTTAATACATCATTGTATATATCATTCACTGTTATAATACTCGTTCATTGTATGTATGATTAAAAGCTATTGAAATTTGGGTGCAATTTAGTTGTATTTAACATGTTTTTTGTTGTAATGATTTTAGTTATAGTTTGACTAATTATACGATTTGTTGATTGACACTTTTGTGTGGTTATAACACGAAAAATATTTTTAAATTAGACTTAACCACGTTTTGAAGCAATATGTAAATCACTGCTAAAACTTTGATAAAATTGTATAAAAGTTTTCTATAAAAACGGTTAAATGAGTCGTTTCTGCGATTGATTTGTAGCCATTATTTGATTACTTTTATAAACCTGAAAATAAGTGTCAAATGTCAAGATATAACTCTTGAAACCCATACCTCAACACACGATACTCATGTTGAGATCATTTCGGAAATAATAATCGTAATTGAGTTACAAATGGCATGAAATCTAAGAATTTAATTAAATTCACTAATTGTTTATTATAATAATAAAATAATAATATCTATGATAAATAAATGTAAGTGAATTTAAAAAATAATTTTAATTTATTTGTCTAATTATATGAAAAGTGTACATCGGATTCATCAAAATATAATTAAAATGTTTGCAAATGTTAATGTCATTTAAAAATTTACTACAATTCAGATCAATAATATCTTATCGATTTTTTACACTAAAAAATTATTTTACATTAAATACCTTTATCGCTAAAATAATCAAATTATTTGTTTCAATTATTTAAAAAGTAATTTTAAATCATTTTAATAACAAACGAGAATGCGATCAAAAATAAATTGACTTAAAATACAGTACATATTAATTGTGAGACAACCAAAAATAGTAATTTATAAACAATTACGAGATCATTAACTAATGATATGATTTGAATGCGTGTTTGGGTGTGAAAAAACAAACCCAATTTTCAATTCATAATGAAATTACAATTTAAAATATATATCAATCCAATCAACTGTTAACTGCAATTGAAGTGCTAAACGACTAGAAATTTACGGGATTTCTTTGTACAATACATTGCAAACGCGTTTATGTCTACTAAAAGAGTACATTATAGACAATAATGACAATAGTTTGCTGTGTATTATCCCAACAGTTATTAAATTTTCAATTATGATGTAAATAAATATTGCATTATTTTCGATCGGATTCTCACATAACAAATGACATCCAACTGAAATACTATAAAAAAATATTCAAAAAACAGTTTACGAAACAATGAAAAAACAATGGAATTTGTGAGCAAAAAATATACTAATACTTTGATAACTATTTGCATTTTTATATAACTATTACTAATTGTGGCAATACATATTCTTTGGCATCAAAATCAATGCAAAATTCTCTGATATAAGTTAGTAATCACTAAAAATGAATATGTAAATAATTATATCCATTAATTGACTATCGATTTATGAGTAATTGAATGAACGAATCGACTAATAATTACATATTGTTTTGATAAATACTCCAACTTATAATAATTAAAACAATATAAAACAAGTGTTTACTTCAATAAGTACGTACGCACGGGATGGGGAGTTCAGTCACAATTAGTGTCTTAATGTTAAATTGCTATGAATGAGGAGATAATTGTGACCAAAATGTTGCGCACATACAGTACTTATTGAATGAGCCCCTAAGCTGCCAAAGAATGTGTAGTCTATTAGTCCTCATCAGCGGAACTATAAATCTCGTCGTCGGACAGCACTTGTCTGGGATTCACAAATGCTTTCGTCTTTTGAGCCAATTTCTGGTCAATGAGTTGAGCGCTGAGGAAGATCTCGGAGTCATTCTCAATGAGATCCACATAATATTTATCATCAGTTCGCCTAAAACCCAATAAAAACACAACAAACCGTTAGATACATTTAAAAGACATATAGCTGTGGGGGGAGTATGGGACGGCAGTTGACAAACAATTAGAAAGTGGGTTTACCCGTACATAATATGAGCCAACAAATGCTTATTAAATGATAAATCTGTGAACTTTTGTCTGTAAAATAAAAAAACAAATTTCAAAAATAATTAAAAACAAACTAATCATTGAGCCATAAGCCCAAAGCTAACGGCGCTTTTACATAGCTTCGGAGCTCCAGGTGTCCGAACCGAAAGGCTCGACACCGGTCAGTGAACAATGAATGGCGAGGGGAGGCGTTTGACTGAAAATTGGGACCAATTTGTAGATGAGATCGCTTTTCACTTCCAAAGAAGTGCCCAAATCGATGGCAAAAATGCCGTAAATGTTTAAATCGATCTCTTCGTACACCACACGTCCCCTATAGAAAGCGCCCGACTTTTCGTCTTTAAAAGCCACTAAACTTCCCATTCCGTGGAATATATTGCGGTCCTCTTTAATCTTAGCACTCGTATAGTGTCTCCTAAATCATCGAAAACATCAATAAAAATCAATTAATTATTCAAAAGTTACGCCAAAAAGCAAAACAAGGGATTACTTCATATCTTTGGCTAATTTCATGAGTTCATTGAATTTATCGTCAGCCAAGTGGTTGACATCGTTGGCACCGTATGGCAGTGAGCAATAGAAATCGCACGGGTTGTTCACCTCGGTCACTTTGACCACCACATACGAGCCATTCGGTATCTCCACGTCCACGATCTCCACGAACCCCTCAACCATGTCATCCAACTCGTAGCCTATTTATATAATAGTGGGGACACACACACAAAGTTAGCCATAAGTGACCACAAAATGGTACGAATAATGCTTACGTTTTTGAGGGTCGACGTGAAGAAAACTACAGAAAGTTCCCATTTTACAGCCCTTTCCCGTGCCGAAGTATTTACAGGTCATCCGATGGGGTGCACCTGACAAATAGCCATACATTAGTTACCGTACTGTATAATCAAACTATAACTGTAATAGTGTACTGTATATGCAATTTGATTTGAAATTAATTTTTTTGTAAATCAAAATATAATCTTTAATCATAAATACATTTATCATATCTATTAAATAAGTATTAAATATATTTCTATGTATTTTTGTAAAGATTTAACAAAACAACAAAATACATTTAAAGTTTAAAATTTAAACTCAAATCTTAATCTAAATATAAAACAAAATCTAGTAATCGTTTTAATGTGAAGTACAGAGTAACAAAAAATAAATTTTTACATAAAAAGCCAAAAAGAGTTGATTAATATATATATATATAGGAATTTAAACATTTAATTAAAACTTCAATTTTTATAAATAATTCGCTAATTAATAACTAACTAATTAGTGAATAAAATTCTTATCACTCCATAATTATAGCCATAAAATAAACAAAACTGATATTAAATTCAATAACAATTGTAATAATCCTGTTTGAATGAGCCGTGACATGACAGGCAAAGACGGATATACAGGCAATCCTTTTGGCAGTGATCACAGATTCTTAACCTCCAAAATTCGGCACAACATGAGACTCGTATGCAATTCAAGGTCTTCGCGGTCTATAAATAGCTAATTGAGTCAACACTTACTGTAGCCCATGGTCGCGACGCCGGGATTGTCTGTCTGAACGCCATATCTGTTGTCTTTGCAGTTGGCGTCGTCTTCCATCGGATCCCAGTCGTCGTCGTCCTCGTCGTCATCGCATTCACTGAGTCTTTCGGGCAATACATTGCCCATATGGCCGTTCACCGCACCGTTCATTTTCACTGAATTCACGCCATTAACGACCGCAGGGGCGACAGGTGAATGAGATGAGTGGCCATTGGTTGGCACTAATGTGTGGGCGCTGTCGCCGCTTATGTCCAATACAATAGGCGCTTCGAGCATGCGAGTGACGGCACCGTTAGTTTTAGGAGCACTTTGATTGTTGGCAGCACTGGAGCACTGGCTGTCATTAGCCGAAAACATAGTATTGTTGTTGTTCTTCATAATGGGAATCAATCCGTTCATTATGACATCGGGTGGTGTGCCCTCCCGGTGCGCTCTTTCCGCTTCTTTAACCCAATCGAGATTATCGGTGACGGCATATCCGCTCACCACTAGCTTTGAATTCAAGAGAATCTCCTCATTGTCCACATTGGCCCACAACAACACCTCAAGAATGGAGTCCAAGTCAAACGTCTCGGGTTTGTGGACAACACAAGCCGTCAACACCTTCTCTTCGATCAGACAACGGAAGTGTTCGGCGGTCTCTTCGGGCCATTCAGATCCGCCACCGATTGGCGAAATGCTCGACAGACTGCACCGGACGGCCAGCGCCGGGTAGAGCGCGAACTTGCGGGTCAGTGGCATCAGGAGCTTGCAGTCAACCCACTCTTCGTTGCCATAATCAACGTAATAGACGAGCGCTCTGTCGGCGCGCACATCCACCACACGACTCCTATACCAGCGCTCGTCGTGGCTGTACTGCGCGCACCAGAAGGAACCGACGGTCACTTGGGACGGATGGGTGTGCTGTCTGAGCGACGACTCGTAGCACTCGTTGAGCTGTTCATCCAAGTCGTCAAACTGAGCGCTGCCTACTTGGGTGTCGGAGATGCGTACGTAGAACAGGGAGGGACTGATCACAGTCGACGGTTCCACAATGAGTCCGTTCTCCGAGTCGGGTACTATCGGCGCCGGTATTATTGGGACGGTCGACACCGCATTCAAGTGAGGCATAGATTTTGGCAACGATTGCACCGTATGTGGCATTGCATGGCATTCAATGGATGCTTTCGTCTCACAGTTTTGACTCGACTTAGCCTTCAAGTCAGTCGCCGTCTTCTCAGTCGACGACTTCTGGCGATCCAAACGATTATCGGACGTTCCGTTAGCTTTGGGCGAACGCACTATAGTGCCAGAGGTATGCGCACTACCAGACAATTGGGCGCCAGACGTCGACACAACGGGTATTGCCTGTTGTGTGACATTCTCGTCGATATATTCGGGGATCTCGAGTCGATCGAAAACATTGACCATCTTTCCGGTCTCGTCGGCAAACAACAAATCTGTCGGGAATTGAAAGCTCTTCAGCCTTTCATCAATTCTGTCCTTCTTCTGGAACGTGACCAACAATTTCACAGGACTTGCGGTCACTCTGCGAAACGTGTCGATCGACTCCTTATCCCATTTGTAGCTGTCGTCGAGCGGCAGGCCCTGGAGGTAGCAGTGGATGGCTTGCTTGCGCTTCTTCAGCTCACACGACAGGCGCATAGTCTTCGAGAGCGGCACCTCTTCGGTGTTCCCCCAGTCGACGAACTGGACTTTGAGCGTACGAATCGAGTCCTTTTCCACGTCGTCCTCGTAGTGGATGTCTATGACCTGCGCTCTATACCAATAGCCGTCCTCCGAGAAGATGGCCGCGCAATACATACCGATCTCCACGTCGGCGGGTGTGAGTAGGGCGCCGCCCCTATTCAGCAGATCCTCCTGCTTCACTTGAATCGCGTGGATATAGTTGTTGACTTCGGCCGGGTTCAGGTGCACCCAGAAGTCGGACGGTGTCTTGGCGTAGGCCATCGTGACACCCGTGTACTGCCGATTGGGCACCACTTTCACTAACTTAAGCTTCAGGTTGTTGTCGGCGTCGAAGCCGAACGACTGCAAAGAATCGGTCGCCGATAGTATCGTCTCATTCATATTGTCCCTAACATTCTGCACCCCTTTGTGGCGAAGAGGTTGAGCTGTCGGTTGAGCCGACGACGACCTCTGCGACGATGTGCGCGCGTCATAGAAGGTGTCGTTACTCGTGGGACAGGAGGCGCCGTTACCGTTGGCGATGCCGCCCACTCGAGCGCTATGATAGGTGTCCTCCTCTTGAGAGCCGCCGGCGAGTCTTAAGCCATCCATTCTGCCGAACGACCCGAAAGTGGTCATCGAATTGGGTCTCTCTTTCAGAATTATTTGTTCAGAAAACTCGGGCAAAGAGTTGACACTAAAAGGCAAATCAGACACAAAACACTCAATCAAAACTCTGTCTTAATGGCAATAATCATCGCACAAAACACTTACACTTTGTTTAACTGGTGTACAACTGACTCGTACTTCTGATACCTGCCGACCTCTGCAGTGAGTATATCGTTCTCGTGGCGCACGTCTCGCAGCTCTTTGCGCGCCATTTCCCGTTCTTCGGTCACTAATTGCATCTGACTCTCGAGCGAATCCACTTCGACGCTCAACTCCAGCACCTTATTCCTCAGCTCCTGGAGCTCGGGGTGATTGTCGTCGATGGGCGCCGCTGCGCAGGCCTCCAACTCCTGGACGCGAGCCATAAGCACCCGGTTCTCGGTCCTCACCTCTTGGACGCTGATCTTGAGGTGACAGTTCTCGGCGGTGAGGCCGGCGATCACGTCCTTCACATCTTTGACACATTTGAGGCCTTCGTCGAGTCGGACCTCCAAACCGCGCACCACTTCCTCGCCTATCGCCGACAGACTGTCATTCATGGTGTCTTCGGCTATCGTCTAAACACAGGCCACACACGACTTCGACGGTTAAACACGTGATAAACACACAAAACAATCAATTAGTCACTCATTGGTCAGACGAATACGTGTTTGTAATGTACGCGCGGTTTGCGTCCAATTAAGTGAATGGCAAACACACGGGTCTAAGGGTTTCAATGCATCCCTGTTTGCGGCGTTTAATTCAATTGCAAATCAAGTGTTAATTGCAATCACTTTGAGCGCAAACACAATGCAACACATGTGTGGCGAAAGTGAGTGAAAGTGAGAGCGAGTGAGTCGTGTGAATGCGGTATTGAATGTGAGGCAGAAATGCGCCAAACATTGAGTCATGTGTTGTGTTTTGATAGCTGTCTCCCATAACACGCATGCGTTTCACACAAACACTCATTCAATGGACTTTTTATATGATATGAAGGGGCAGTGGAGGGCCCACTCACTCACTAAATACCCCTTTAATAGGCTGTCAATTAGGCGGACAGACAAGAGTTTTTACAGTGACTACTGTATCATATCATAAATGTATTGAGCAATGAGTGACAGGTAGGGAGGGAGTGAGGGAGAGAGAGAGAGAGCTATTTGTTATAAAAACTTTTGTTAAGATTCAACAAAATTAAGTCAAATATAGCGTACATTAACTAAACACTTACTATTAATAAACGAGTGCATGAATTGTAAATTATAAGCTTTAATACCAAAAAACAAACACAATTATCATCACATACTATACAGTATACAGTAATAGTATTTGTCGCATACATTCACTACACGTAACAAACTATTGAAAATAATTTGTTGGCAATAAAATTGGGTTAAGTTTCTTATTTATTTCGCTACTCTTTCAACTAAAAAGACAAGACCTCTCTCTCTCTCTCTCTCTCTCTCTCTCTCTCTCGTACGAAAAACACACATACTTTGAAAAAAAGCACGGCTTAAGAAATGTTAGGTTAAAAAGCGTCACTTAATTGCATGCATAGCCTCTTAATAAGCGAGTCATTTAGATATAACTATATATACACCACAGGACTTACTTATGATTTGCTTTTGATTTATATATAAATCTCAGCTATTTTTGGTGGCATTCATGTCATTCAAATACACGGAGAATATATAATTTTACTGACATTACAGTACATCCACAACACGTACAAAGTATACTAATTATGCAAATATTTTGCGCTTTAAATCATCAAAACTTTTTTTGGGAAAAAAGCAATTCCTATGCCATTCACTCGCAAACCATTGCCTCACGGTTTGAGCGATAGATCGTAAACCCTATTCAATGATTGATTTACACGCTATACGGGCGACACAAATGTCAAAACTTATTTAAGACAACCACAAAAAAGTGGTATAAAAAGCAACAACTATTTGTTTTTTAACACTTATGAACACATTTCACACATTGAATACAATACGAGATTCATATAGACTTAATGATCGGATAAGACTCGAGATATGGCTTAACAGTAGTGTTAACAGCGGTTTGACATTCACTTTACAAACACAATGAAATGCATAAAGAAATTGTGTTTTGAATGCAAAATATGACGACAAGATATTTGTTGGCAAACTATACCAATGTTTTGTGTAAATATAACTTTTGGACACAAAATACTAACAAACATTAGGGAGAGAGAGAGAGAGAGAGAGAGGCAATGAAAGTACCATTTAATAGACAAACTTATAAATAACATTACAAAATCACCCGGCTTACCCGTGGACTCGTGTTATAACCACACAAAAGTGTCAATCAACAAATCGTATAATTAGTCAAACTATAACTAAAATCATTACAACAAAAAACATGTTAAATACAACTAAATTGCACCCAAATTTCAATAGCTTTTAAACATACATACAATGAACGAGTATTATAACAGTGAATGATATATACAATGATGTATTGAATGGTGTTTACTATCAATGTATTAATTAAACAAAACAATCGCACAGTTGTTGTTGTTTTAGTGGATTAAATCTGCAATTGTTGGCAATTAAGCAAACCTGCTCAGTTTAATCGTACACTTTGCCATACAATAAACTTTCACAATATATTTTACCATGATGTAATTCAATACACATAAACTACAGGTGCGAGTGGGGAGTGGGTGGGGATGTGAAACATTACACTATAACAACTATATAGACATTAAAATCATTAATAAATATTAATTACAGTAAAGTTATATTTAAAAATACCCACAACATAGTTATTAATAGTTATTAACGATTACTACAAACAAATTAAAACCTACCGATGCTCCGAAGGACAACATACTGTACCCCCACTTGACAGGGCACCGGTAGTTCACCGAAATTTCGCGAATACTTTATGTACAGCCATAAGGTATACACAGAAAACACATTATTTTTGAACCGAAAACCAAAACAAACTTTGAATTCAATAGAAATCCAATCGACGGCTCAGTTATGACACCAATCGTGAGGTCGTTATCATCCATGAGAGCCATCATCTCGACGGGCGTCCAGACAATGGTCACCACCAGGAGGTACCGAAGCGATTGGCACCTGATTAGCGCCGTATGCCTCCAGAGATCGCCACTAATTGTTCCCGAAATGAATTGGTTGGAGAAGAAGATGTCGGACGTGTTGGACACCGTTGAGACCAATGGCAGCCTCTATAATGACCACGAGATGAGACACTTCGAGGACGAGTGAGGAGACCGGTGACCGCAGCGGTTGATAATCGCGTGTCTAATGTCTGTCTGTGTCTGTCATGTCTTGTAGACGACGCGCCAAACGGATCGCCGCCGGAGACAAAGTGGACGAAAAGGATTTGGAGGCGGCGTCCAAACAAACCGCTCAAGACTTTGAGGAGTACTTCCAGAAGATGTTCAGTCAGTTCTCGAAGGCGTCGCGGATCACACGTGCGTTGATAATCACCGCAAGAATCAGTGCATTGTTTTTAACGAATCCATTGCTGTCTGCGTTTGTGTCCACAGAATCCGATGTAACGAATGACAGGAAATCGTTGGACAGGTGTCTCGACCGCCATCTGATGCTCGTCTGTAGGCAACGATTGGACAACACCGTCGAGGAATGGCTTTTACCGCAAACGGTGAACAGCGGCGACGAGACTATGAGAGAGACGGCCGAACGAGCGCTCCGGGAGTTTTGCCCAACGGGTCAGTTGGAGGTCGGCTTCTTAGGCAACGTTCCGTCGGCTGTCTATTCGTATAAATATCCGCCGCTCGTCACCGATAAGACGCGTATGAATGGCGCGAAGATCTTCATATTCAAAGCGCTCCACAAAAGCGGACACTTTGTTCCCAATGAAGACATTTGTTTGGACTACGAATGGCTCAATCGCACCGAATTGGCCGCACGGTTACCGCAGAAGTATTGGAGTACTATCTGTGAGTCTCTGCTGTTGGAAGAGTTGGACATCAATGACATCATGAGTCGGAACAAGACTTTCCGGCGTATCGTTAAGAAAAGGTTTTCGGTTTCCCAACAATAGCTCATTAATTAATTAGTGAAACAAATCATTGGTTTTATAGAGATATTAATCATTAAATTAAATTAAAATTCTTATATAAATTAAATTTTTAATTAATAAAAGTCTAATCATATGTTTCCAAGAAGGATTGCCTTTTTTGTATGTAAGCGTTGAATGAATTTTACAGTAAAATAAAATGAATTATTTATGAATTTAATTCCGAGGAAATGAATTTTAATGTTTAATTTAATTACTGTATAAGAAAACGATACACATTATGAGTTTCAAGTTTAAATGATTTCCTAACTCTCTGTAAGAAACTTAGCGCTCAAATGACACCCATTTTCTGTTTAGTCTTCAGCTTCTTCTTCACCACATCGTACGACCTCTCCTTCCACTGGGATTTCCGCAGTTTTATAGGCCGACTGCCCACGTATTTGCCTTTAAAACCAATACAAACACACCATTAATAATCATTTTTCATAAAATTCATTCATAATATTCTGATAATAATTACAGTAATTATTCATTAATTTAATAATAAGCAAAAATAGTCATTAAACGCTACGTAAACATGAGTTAAACATCAAACTCAGTCCATTTAATAATATATTTAGTAAATATTATTTACCCTAAATTTCCTTATATTTTCAAAACATTTGCTACAAGAATAATATTTTGATACTATTTTTAAATATTAAAGAATTCCGTTCAAATTCTATATGAAAACAAATATCGATAATTGAATTTTAAAAACATGATTACCAAGAAAACAACGTTAAGTCAATAGGATTCCGAAACACTTCAAAAGCTATACATATTTTCCTATTGTTTTCCAAAAATATCGCACAAATGGTCACAATATTTTGACCTCAATTTATGGCACCTATAGGTTGCCTGTGTTATGCAACAGACTTTCTTGATGATAAATTTAACACATTACTAGAATCCCAATCCCCTTATAGGCACTCATACTCGCAATATTGTCAGTGCACTCATAGATTAATTAGCGATTGAAGCAAAATGTGACTCTAAATTGTATTTTAGTCTTTTAATAGATACAAAAATAAATTGTTTAGAATAATATTGAATTAATGACCAGAAAATGCTACAAAAATAATTAGAGAAATTGATTTTTAATTTCAAAATTATGAAATTCATAAATTAAAATTACATAAGTTATGTAACATTACACTATGGATGGCATACACTTTAATGACTAAAAAGGCATTTCCTAAATGAATTCACATAACTATTAGACCCTTTAATTTGATAATCAAATCTCTAGAGAAGTCGTGCGCAAAATAATCGACTTTTAAATACTCTACAGTTATTTAAACACAGTATACCGTATACTATATACTATATATTTCTAAGGATTATATAATATATAAAATATTCTGTACTTTGTGTTCAAACAACATATTTGACATCAAAACACGATTCTTCGAGATGACAGACGGCCGACCACTCACTCATAAATTCTGTATCTATGGCTTCAATGCCTTTTAAAACCTTTAAATTCTGTGCACAAAATCTAATTATACATATTCTTCATACAGATATTTCTCGTGTCTTCAGCAGTGGACGCAATCCATAGAATAATACACACAATTGAATGCATGGGCGAAGTGGGCGTCCACTCGCCGATCGCACGTACTTTCTTAAAGAGATTCCGATTCTGTTACTAAACACTACCACTGATTCCTATTGTGTGACTCAGTCTTTGTGTAGGCATTATTTTAAGTATAAAATAACATTTAGTTATTGTTTTTCACTCTATTAATACGATAGCTCTGAAATACGATAACTCAAAAAAGGTTACTTAACACACAATTATGTCAACGAATTTTATGATTATTAATTGATTATGTTTATAGTAAATATTAAACCATTTTTAATCATTGACTAAACTTTTATACTGTACAGTATAAAAAACCCACCCCCGCATTGCTTTACTAGTGCTATACTTTGTCTATTAGAAACTCATAAGGAATTTGCAGTTTAATATCGGATCAGAATCGAGATTCCATCCCATATGACACAGTTGTCTATGAGATGAGAAAACTTTAATTAATTAACGGCAAATGCGAGAGAGAGAGAGAGAGAGAGAGAGAAACGATACAATTGTATTATATAACTCGCTATATATGAACAGTAATACAATAAGAATTGTGTAGAAAAGGGTCACAATATTAGTGTTAAAGTTGTTGTAATTCTTTGATTTATTTTCAAAAAACTGCGAATAACTGGAGGTATTATATCACTAGTCATTAGGGCTTTAACTAATTGCTGTTCACAGCCGGGCGTGTCGAGCGTGAGTATCTATAATCTCGAGTGCCGAATCCCTAGTTGATTAATATGTGGTTTGAACACTAAATTATGGGTCAATAAGTGATTGTTTTATTTAGTGTCTTAATAAAATACGCAAGTGCGAAACAACTTTAGAGTAAATTCTTATAGAGAATACCATATACTGTGTGTCCATTCATATAAAACTGTAGCTATCAGTGAATACAAGCGATGCCACTGTATATTGAATCTCATTCTTAAACACAATACTACAGCAAACACTATGCTGTCGTCGCTGAGAGATTAGCCTGAATTTGATCCAATAGTGTGTCTAAGACAGTGATAACACGAATGTGTGTAAAGCCCGGGATGTGTGGGCGGGCGGGGAGGGAAAAACCCGGCAAACGACGGAAAGGGGTTTCAAAGAATCGAGAAATTAAAAACGGATTAATAGTAAAGTGAAAATTAATTAATAAAAAACAACAAAAAATCCTCAATTCATAAGAATTATCGTATTTCTCAAACAATGCAAAAAACACTATAAAAAGCGATAATAAGCTGTTATTTTAGACGTTAAATAATGGTTTGCAAAGACTTTCAACAGAATAGGAATCAGTAGTAGTACTCAAAGAATGGATAGAATATTCTCTTCAGCAGA